AGAACGAGAATATATAGCAAAGGTACCGTATGCAAATGCAGTGGGTAACTTAATGTATCCTATGGTGTGTATAAGACCCGACATTTCACAGTCAGTTGGAGTTGTAAGCAGGTACATGCATGATCCTGATAAGGAGCATTGGCAGGCTGTGAAATGGATTTTACGGTACATTTTGAACACCGTAGATGTTGGATTAATATTTGAACGGGATGAAAGGATTGGTCAAGGCGCAGTTGGATATTGTGATTCCGACTATGCAGGTGATCAAGATACACGTCGATCAATGACTGGGTATGTATTTACAGTTGCTAAGGCACCAGTCAGTTGGAGGTCTACCTTGCAGTTAACGGTTGCTTTGTCTATTACAGAGGCGGAGTATATGGCAGTTACGGAGGCTGTTAAGGAAGCAATTTGGTTTCATGGGTTGCTTGATGAATTGGGAATCGAACAGAAGTCTCTCAAAATTCATTTTGATAGTTAGAGTGCTATTCATTTAGCAAAGAACCAAGTCTATCATGCAAGGACGAAACATATCGACGTACGGTATCATTTTGTGAGAAAGATTTTGAAAGATAATACAATACTACTTCAAAAGATTCAGACTAAGGAGAATCTTGCTGATATGCTTACGAAAGTTGTGACAACTATCAAATTCCAACATTGTTTGAATTTGATAAATGTTGTGCACAACTTGAAGATTGGCGCTTGACAGCGCATTTGAAGACACCACCAAATGTTGGGAGAAGAGTGAAGCATTGAAGATATAGAGATTTCGCCAAGGTGGAGATTTATTGACTTATTGGCTTAATAGCCACAATTGTCAATTGTGCAAAGCTACAATTGTATTTGTTGACTTATTGGCTCAATAGCCACAATTGTCAATTGTGCAAAACTACAATTGTTGACAATTGTGCACAAACTCTACATCCTACATCGTTAGTTTTGTTAAGAATTCTCTCATTTGTAAACTATAAATAGAAGGATCCTTTGATAGGATAAGATATACCAAGCAAGAGAATTATAACTTGTTTCCTTCTCTCTCTTTGTAATATTTCTTCTAATGAAATATTAAATTGTCAGTGGTGTCCGAGGACGTAGACAAATTAGCCGAATCTCGTTAAATTCTGGTGTTCTATTTTATTGTCTATTTAGTAGCTATATTTGTAGGTATATTTGTAGTGAGTTATTGTGCAATTAATTGCATATATAGGTGATTCTGTCTAGGAAATTGGTACTTAAACAGGCTAGTATGTCTCGCCAAATATTTCCTGAGAGTTACCATTTTACAATTTTAGGTACAATAATTTACTCGTTATACCTTAATTTGGCAGAGCTTCCGCAACATTTGTATGTTACAAAATTTTCAAACGTTAATTTTAGCTTTTGAGAACATCCAAATAATTGCTCACCGAACTGTTAGGAACCATGAATACATGACACCAAAAGGTTAGGAACCATTAGGGGTGTATCAAGTTTGTCTAAATTCTAAAACATCGATCATAACGTAACGTGATTGAGAGAAAACTTTTCACATTGGTATGTTGGAAAGTGTCACTTTATTGCATATGAAATGAGGCCTGGGAATTGATGCCCAATGCTTTCAATTTGGGTAGTGGTCTATTAAGTACTTCAGAGGCCACAAAGTTTTCATGCCCCATTGCCCAAAGTCCCTCTTCAGAATGATGGTTACTGCTGAGACCCTTATTTTTCAGCTGGTTTGTCTACTAATAGTGCTGGTTTTCAGGTAGAGTGTTATTTGAAATAAGTATTAGTTAGCATTGCTGAAAAGTCGTGCTCAGTGGCAAAGTTTTTCTGGGCTTGCTTGCTTCACATGATGCAGCTAGTACTGGCTTTGTTGTTACTGAAACGGTTAAAAGAGTTTCTTGCCAAGAGTCAAGGCGTTCAAGAAATGCAGAGGACTGATAGTTTGGAATAGACAATTTGACAAGCAATCTGGTTGAAATGACTCTAGAGATTGAGTCGAAGATGTTCCATCCAGCCATGGCCGTTAATAAGTTGGAAGTGGAAAAGTAACTGGGAAAATGATACTGAAATGTTGTTACTGTTTCATTGCCAAGTGTTCATTTAATTTTCTCTTGTTTCTTTTTTCTTCAATTACGGGATTTTACCTATCATATCGGTGGTGACTTGAATAATATATCAGCTATAGATCTTTAATTATGTGAAATTTCAGTGGAAATTTCGTACGTGTTCCAAATCGCCATGATTGAAAAGTGCTTCAAAAGAGATGAAAATAAAAACAAGAAATAGCTAGCATGGATTTGAAATAGGCATGGAGTGGTTATAATTCTCTTTTGGCCTGGCAGAAGTATACCTTCCCTCAACTTTATAAAGATTGCAACAGGAGACTTTTCAGCTGCATGATTTCCTATTGATTTCCAACAGCAATCTGTTTTGGGGTGTGCCTCTTCCTTGTGAGTGGTGACTGCTTTTGGCTACGGAGAAAGCTGCTGTAGTTGAGAGGTAGTGCCCATTCTCAAATTATTTTCGATTGTCAAAACGGGTGAAAATGCTTTTCTGTGGTGGATCATTGGCTATCTCAAGGGCCTCTGCTTGATAGATTTTGGTACAAGTATAGTGAAGCAATTTGGAAGCAATCAACAAACATATGAGGGTAGTCAGCCTGCAAGATTGAACTTTTAACTGTTAAATCTGCAATTAATTAAGTTTTTGCAGCCAACTGCTGAGATTGTTTCATGGTAGCATTTCGTTTGATTTGAGGGATGTATTCCTAGACACGCTTTCAATAGTGTGGTTATTATGTATACATCGCTTGAGCGCAAAGGATGAAATATTAAACTGAATTGACTGATATATAGATGGTCTATTCTGGTTATATTCTGGTTCAAGCACGCTTTATGTCATAGAGGAGTTTGGGATGGCATGAGGAATTGGGAATCATTTATTCTTCATGTGCCCTTGTTCTAGTTATATTTGGTCAAGAGTTGAAGTATGATCTATGTTATAGAGGAGTTTAAGGATGGCAGGAGGATTTGGCTTGGCAATCTCATCATTTGAAGCAATATTAATTGGATACATATTATTTGAAATAATATTCGTGCTTACGTCACAAACATATTTGTCGACCGTTTTTTTTAATTTTTCCAATTATCTTCTTATCTCACAGATATCATGTCATAACAAGTACTACAGTACTTATTTTAAATAATATTTCAAATACTATCTAAACAGTTGTTTTGGGTATTTACTAAGAAAACTAGCTAGCTTTGGGAGCTGTCCTCTATCATTTATGGAAAGGAATTGATTAAGGCGGTATTCAAAGAGGTCAGAAATTACATTGCATCTTGGAAGAGGGTCCCAAACACTTCTAAAAATTGGGAACTAAGCCTTGAATGAGATTTTCCCTAATCTATTTTTGAGAAATAGTAGTATGCCTATTTGTGAATGGTTTGTTCTTTCTTATCCATAGTACTATTTGTGCTTGTAAGGCAGCTTAATTACTGCTTATGTAAACTTTCTTGCTGATCAATAAAGAAGTAGGGTAAAGGGCCTTCTGTTAATTCCTAAACACTATAATGCATTGACACGTATCCTCTCTTAACTATCACAAAAAAAACCCTATAAGTGCAACTCTCGTTTAATTAAAGAATCGAAAAACTAAAGTGACACATACTAGACAGGAAAAAAAATCAGTTCCTTCTCTCTCTCCTTTTCGATCCCATTTCTCCTCCTTTGTTGCTTCCAAAATCCTTTTCATAATAAAGAACTTCAGAAAACTTTGCCTTATTGTGATTGAGAGAACCAAAAATCTAAAATTAGAAAAGAAATCTTGTGCTTGTGGTTTCATATTCACAAGTGCAATATGATACCAAAACTTTTTGTCCCTACCAGATGTTAGATAGAATGTTGAACTACAAAAATTTGGAGAAACAGACACAACCTGCGAAGGTTACAAGGCTAAAAGTCATGTATGATGTTTGGATTGTTTCAATTATTCTGTATTAATATAATAGGTGTATTAGTGTAAGATATATAGAATACTCTACCAATTGTACACAATTTCATCTCTTCTAATGATTAATTCAAAGTTAGAGGATGCAATTTGACATCAGAATGAGGGTTTCTTCATTTTGCTTTGATTTTTTTTTGGTGGGATAATTCATCGATCCATGAACTGACTATATGAAACGAAGGCTAGTACTCTAAAGAACAGTTGAGCAAAATTTTGTCGGACCATACTACTGAATTTTGTTGAGAAATTTCCCATTTGGGATAAGAGGATTTGTGACAGAAGGAAGTAGAACCTGAAAAAAAGAAGAAGAAAAGAAACAAGTGTATTCTTTTCTTAATGATGATTGTTTAGATTCACTCAAGAATTAAACTTAACTAGAAATCTTTATTGTGGTAGTTGAGGGAGGACATATATCCAATCATTAAAGTGTATAACACGGTACGTGTCAATGCAGAAAAGAATAATTCCTATCTTATATACTAGTTTACTTTATTTGATATTGTACTTTGCTCTCCTAAAATTCTTTCTACCACCAAAACATATTACAAATCATATACCGTTCATGTCAACTGAAATAAGATCACAAACTTGTTTAGTTAATTATTGTGTGAAATTTCTGTGTTCGTCTTTTGCAATACGAAAATCAAATAATGAGTGAAGAAGGATGTGGCAAAGCATCTCGGCAGTGAGGAAGGAAGTATAAAAGGAAACTACAAGGAAGATTGGTAATGGGAAGAGCACGAGGCTTTGGGAAGATAGCTGGATACCAGATAGTCCAAATAGGAAACCATCAGTAGCCAAGCCACAGGGATGTCAGTTAAGGATGGTCTCTGAGTTGATAAACAATCACAGATGGAATAGAGTGCTGATTCTTAAAACTTGTTGCTCACAAGATGCAGAGAGAATACTGAGAATATCAATCAGTGTAACAGGAAGAGAAGATAGCTTCTACTGGACACATTCACAGCATGGCCAATACACAGTCTAGTCAGGCTATAAGGTGTGGATGAAGGAAAAGAACCAGAGGGACTCTATGACAAGGAACGAGGCAAGAACTAGCTACGAAGAAACCATAAGCAAATCCTGGAAAGTACTATGGAAGCAGAATGTCAATCAAAAGCTGAAGGTTTTCATGTGGAAATCCTTACATGGTGCACTCCCAGTAAGGGAACTGATCTTCAATCGAACAAAGCAAGGAAACCCAATGTGTGCAGGTTGTGGAGAAAGGGAAGAAACAATAGAACATATGATGTTCCAATGTAAGAAAGCAAAGGAAATATGGAAAATGGCGCCTGTTCAGTGGGAAGGACTGGAGCATTTGACTGGATGCTTCATGAAATGGTGGTCAGCAATTCTGGAAGCTCAGGAAAGTAGAGGGGAGGCAGTTCAGGTGAATGTAACCATTAACATCCTCTGGCAGATTTGGAAAGCTAGAAATGAAAGAGAATTCAACCAAAAGGAAAGAGAGCCTCACAAAGCAATTGAGAAGGCTCAAAAAGAATGGAGGGAGTTTGAGGAGGCTAACAAAGGAATGGAACCAAGGAAGATCACTCAGGAAACAGAAGTGCAATAGTGGATTGATCAACACCAGAACGAAGGAGAAATGAGAATGCTACTCAAGATTCATACTCAGCAAGATCAAAATCAGTCAATAGTGGGAATAGGAATCACTGCAACTGATAATGTGGGGCAATTACAAGGAACCTGGGCACTCAGAGAAAGAATGTCGGGGAACCCAGTGCAAGACCAAGCAGAAGCAGTGAGACTAGCTCTACTTAAAGCTGCCAACCAAGGATGAAGGAGAATCAAAGTAGAGCTGGACAATAAAAGACTGGTGGAAGGTATAAAGGAGTCAAGATATAGCAACTGGCGAGTAGCTACTCTTATTGAGGATATCAAGTCTATTTGTAATTTGTTTCATCAGTGCTCTTTCTCTTTTGTGAATTTGGGAAAAGTTGATAGCATTAAACTGAGCATGCATGCTCTTAACATTTGGGTAGATGAAGAGTGGATTAATCCCATTTTTAGATGCTAACACATCAATGACATATGTAGGATTGCTGTCCTTTTGATTGGACCTTTGTTCAGTTACTGTAAAGAATTGAAAATGAAATACAAAGCTAATGTTTCAACAAAAAAAAAAGGTGAAGAAACTTGCTTTTCACTTCCCATTTGTGTCGATTTAAACAATCAACTATTCCTTAGGTCATTATCGTTATTTTGATTTAACACTTCCATTTTACACGTTGCATTGCTCCTTGTTAGTGTGCTACTCAATGTTTCAATAGCTCAAGACTAGCCTGTCAAAAACATAAAATCTTTGTCACTATAAACTTTCTTTTGATCCGTTTGGATTGCTATTTTTAAAAATTTTTATTAAAAAAAATATATTATAGCTATTTGATATATGTGAAATAAAAAAAATAATTCACAAATGTGTTCACGAAAAATATAAATTTTTTTTATAGAAAATATCAATCCAAATATTTTCGAGTAAAAGGCACCAATGGTACCTAAACCTTTCGTGAATGGCAGTTTGATACTCCTCCTTTCAATTCTATCATATCTATTAAAATTTTGGAATTGTGTCTAATTGGTTCCAAAACTCAAATCTAGTGGGAATTGGACGAGCTGGCTAGATGTGGCGAAGAAGGGGTAGTTTTTAGAACAAAATTTAAAAAAAAAATTTAAAAAAACATATGGAAACAAACAAAAGCATATTGCTGTAAATGGTTTACAATGATGAAAGATTCCCTTAATCACAATATGTTGGAGTAATTTTACATGTTCTAATACCGTAAAACCTTTATAATTAACAAATTTTTAATCGTATGTTTCACCATTATAAACCATTTTGTCCAACATGTAAACTGATTATAATCTATTAAAGATGTAAAACCTTCGCAACTGATGGTTAAATTGTATGTATCCCTATTGTACATCATTGTGTGCAACATGTAAATTTTACCACACTATTCTTTTGTTGGTTTCCTTGACCACATAGGATAGACAAACGAGTAATCCGTTAACTTTCATTATCATTTGTTATTTTAACGTTATCTAGCTTTGCAACTTAAAACTTTCTCTCTTCCCTCTCTATACCCTCAACCTTCTCTCTACTCTTCTTCCTCTATAGGAGGGAGATATTGGCGTTTAAGTCAGGTCTTTCTTCCTCTTCCTTTGTCCTATTCCTTCGTTTCTTACTTTGATTTAGTAAAGTCTCTCTCAAACCATCCAGGTGAGAGTTTTTCTTCTCTCTTAAGCTATCCTGATAAGAGTTTTGTTTAGTTTTTTTTGTTATTTATTTTTTCAGATCTAAGAATTTCTTCAGATCTATATGTTAAATCTAAAATTTTTTTGGTCTTCTCATCAGATCTCAATATCAGTTTTGAACTTGAACAAGTTGGATAGCAGATCTAAGGGAATAGATATGCACAGATATCTATGGAGTGGTTCGTTCAATATGTCAGATTTGATGATTGATGATTCACGGTGTAATCTTTTATATTTTGTATCTCTGTTAAATCTTATGATTTTTTAGATCAAATGTATCTATGACATGTTCAATGTATTTTTTGCCATTAGTGCAGATTACTTTGTCAAGCAAATTGTGCTGGCCAATTTCCAGCGAGATGATTAATAATATTGACTTATATTTTATAAAAAAAACGCTTTGCAACTTTGACTTTTAAGAATAATGGCACTAGATAGCCATCACTAGTACTAAAATATACATGAAAGTCCAGAAGAAATTTCAAATGATAAATTGTAGAGAAATATTAAAAAAAAATCAAACTACTGTGCGATCATAAATAAATATTGTCAAATCAAGATTTGCGCTAATTATAAAAATTTACTACAATCAGACATTTGTTGATCTAGTGAGTTCTTATCTATTGGCAAAACAATCAAGGTTGACACCCAAAAAAATTTAAAGATTATGAACTGGAGTCTCACTATATCTTCTAGGTGGGTTTGGATAGGCATTACTTGAACAAAAATTATTTGCTTGCATTACAAATATATTTTTTCATATTTTTTAAATTACTTTTTTTTGGTCTCATATATATTATATCGTAAAAAATATAATAATAATTATTTCAAATAATATTTCAAATAAACTTCTATCTAAACTCACAATGTTCAAAACGTCAAAGATCAAAGTTATTTAAAATTTGAAATGACGCGATCAAGTCAAAAATGACAAAATTAACACGTACAAGAGTATACAGGTCAACAATATTAAGATAGTTGAATGTTAACGTCAAGCCTTGTTTCAAATTAACGAGAAAAGGCTTTGGAGGATCAAAATAGAAGTACCATAGCTTCTCATTAACAACATAAACGTCCACATGGACGCACGACTTCGTTCTCCTCAACAAGTTTTTGAATTGACCAAGTTTATGAATTGACTAATGCTTCGTTCGACCTCTTTGAAAGTGATTCAAGATTTCAAGTGGTCCTCCAACTGAAAATTTTTTTATTTGGTCCTCCAAAGCGGGAACTGTCTCAATATGATCTCTTAAACTGAAAGTGTCTTATTTTGGTCGTCCAAACTAGCAACAAACTTTCTAAAGTTGGTCTTCGAAGGTTACATTGTTAAAGGAATTAACAATTGGCTAGCTTTTGAAGGATTTAACTGCAACAAGAGGAAATAAAAAAAAGTAATTTTAATTATTTTACACAAAACTTTCTCACCTTAATTTCTTTAGTGATATGTGTACTAGAGCTTTTGAAGTGACTTGTGATTTCAATAGCAAATGCTATGGAGGTCGTACAAAAGAAAAAAAAACTACACATTCTAGTTCAATAATAAATTTATGAGAGAAGAAAAGCGCTATTAGCAGAATAAATGCATAACCTAACATGATTTTAACTTTTTTGTTGCTTGATTGTTCTATGATTAGTCAGTCATGTAAATGCTTGGAGGATGAAATTGGAATAGTATTCTCAATTTGGAGATTCAAATTCAAATTTTATACTACTTTGGATTACTTTGGATTGGAGGGACCATATTAAAATATCTTGCTACCTTGGGGGATTACATTCAGTTTAAGGGACCAAACCAATATTTTTAATCATTTTAGAGGGCCAAAATAAAATTATCCCTATTTATGTAATTTTAAACATTTGTAATCCAATCCAAAACAAAAAAAAAAACTTACAATCCAAGACAAATTTAAGCTATAATCACTAATCTTCCATTACTTTTAAAACAATTAACACAAGAAATAAAAGGTTTCATTCTCACAACCCCCTCTCTATTTCCAAAATACCATAAACAAGAAAAAGTTATAAAAAGGAAAACATAAAATCAGGGTCATAAAGGAGATCTAAAAAAGTTTAAAGTACTCAATGAAATAGGAAACAATAAAAATGAAAAAGTTGAAGGGCATTTGTTAAATTACCACCAAAGATTGTCGTTCAAAGGGGTCCCAACTCCCTGATTCACACATCTCCTTCCTCTCAGAACAGAGCGAGAGAGAGAGAGGGAGAAGGCACAAACACCTGGTTGGAGAAAGGTAAAGATTTCGATCTGACAAAATTCCCATTTTGCTTCGTGAATTTCAAGGCGGTGTGACATCACATCTTTTGTGTGTGGTTGCGTGTCCTTTTCTTGAAAATTCTTTAAATGTTCTGTGTTTACGTGAAAAGACCTCCATTCTTTCTTCTCTTTTCTCTTGGTCATATAAATATCTCTTTCAAAACACGCGTTTAGGGATAACCCTTTTCCCCATTTTCCGTGTGAATCTCGTGTTGATCATTGCTTACTCGTTCTGCATCATTTCTGTTTGTAATTTTCGAAATTTTAAGGATACAAGTCGAAAAAGTTGTGTTTTTGGAAGTCACTTGCAGGTTTTCCAGCTGGATTTGAAGATAAAAGGTGAATTAAAGTGGATGTTCAAGTATGCATTTGTTGCATAGTTTGTATTTAGATTTGCATTTGCTAATTTATGTTGAAATTTGGGTTGGTTGGCTCAAATCTTGATCTTTATGAAAGTTCAAGATTATACATCTTTAAATTTTTGTTTCTGAATTATTGGGTTTTTTGGTTCATGATTTATGACTTTTTTCTGTAAAAAAGTCACATAAGTTTTGTGTGTTTTTTTTTTTAGATATATTCCTGTCTATTTTCGCCTCAAAATATTTTTTTCTCGTAATTTATGATACCCATGTCTGATCCAAGCCTGTTTAGCGAATATTAGCGAGCCCTTTTGCGATTTCGATCTAATTGTATTTGCTTTATGGATAATTCGGGATTTGATTAATTTGTGTCCTGTTATTTTTGGTTTTGATTGCAGGGTTTGTGTCTTCTCTTGTAGTGTATAAATACAAATAAATAGACCTTCAAGGAACTCCTGAAATAAAGGGTGAGGAGGTTATAATGGATTACGAAAGTAATAATTGGATGTGGGAGGGGATGTATTATTATCCCCATTTGTTTGGTGGGATAATGTTAACTGCTGCTTTGCTTGGGTTATCTACAAGCTATTTTGGTGGGATTAGTGTTCCTACTTTGCCATATTTGTTGCCTGGTTTTGGGATCTTTCATAAGAAGACACGCGGAAAGAAACCAGTTCGTGTTTATATGGATGGTTGCTTTGATCTCATGCATTATGGCCATGCAAATGCGTTGAGGCAAGCGAAGGCTTTGGGAGATGAACTGGTTGTTGGAGTTGTGAGTGATGAGGAGATTGTAGCCAATAAGGGTCCTCCTGTCTTGTCAATGGAGGAGAGGTATGAGTGCGTATATTGTTCTTCTTGTTGCATATCTGTTTGTGAAAATTTTATTATTTACCATTTATCTTTCAAATGCTTCGACAATTTTCTAAAACTAAAACCTCTTTGCAGACATGTTGTCTGTTAGCTTTCCACACTTTTTTTGGTGTATGTATCATACTCCACTTTGTTGATTAAAATAGTGTATTTTATGTCACGCAAATATATTTATTTGCGGAGTTGGCGTAGTACGTTGGTTGATTATCAACCTGGATGCTTTTGATACCAATTGAGATGTTGAAGATTGGAACTAACATAGTAACGTTCAAGGTAGATGCATCCAAAACAGACCATTTTGAGTTCTTTAAGCCATTATGCAAGATAAGCAACTTGGAAATTTTGAAATTGTGAGGTATAGGTTTCAGAGAAAAATATACGATCTTGACATCTCTCCTATACCCGCGTCCTCTTCTTTTCATTTGCTTCAGTTTATAATTTTCGTACGCGAGAAAGTATACGACCATTTTGAGTTCTTTAAGCCATTATGCAAGATAAGCAACTTGGAAATTTTGAAATTGTGAAGTATAGGTTTCAGAGAAAAATATACGATCTTGACATCTCTCCTATACCTGCGTCCTCTTCTTTTCATTTGCTTCAGTTTATAATTTTCGTACGCGAGAAAGTATAACAGAGGGGGAAGAAAGAGAAGGGAAAAGTGACGAGAAATATTAAGACAGAAAGAAAATAGGTAGTGACAAATTCATTTCTAAGCTTTTTCCAGAGCTAAACTGTCTGATCTGACCTAGGACACTTCTGGAGGTTACCATTACTACAGGAGAATAATGCATTAGGATTCTTAGCTATTGATTATCTATCTACCTTTAAGTTAATAGTGTGCCTTAGAAAGGGGCGGCTCCTTTGAATGGCCTAGCTATTTCATTTGCTTACCAAGTCCTCAGGGAATCTTGCTGGATCCAGCTATTTCTTCACTTCATTCATGCCTTCTCCTTTTTAGATTTCAGTAAAGAAGTTTGGATAATAACAATAAATTGAAGATTGGCTTATCAAATTCTCGACTCACAAGGGTATTCAAACGTGTAAACTAACTCCAGAACACCCAAAATAGAATTTTTAGACTCACTAACTTGCGTAACATACACAAAAGGTATTCAAATTGAAGATTGGCTTATCAAATTCTCGACTCACAAGGGTATTCAAACGTGTAAACTAACTCCAGAACACCCAAAATAGAATTTTTAGACTCACTAACTTGCGTAACATACACATAAGTGGACATGCTGTACTTCAGGTTATTATGTCTCTTATTTTAGTTGTTCACAATTACATAATTATCCGATTGTAGATTAAAAGTTGGTAAGCAACCTTTTGCACTGCCAGAAATGGTTGAATACCTTCTTCTTAAGTTTCTCATGATGGATACTGATGAGGATTTAACATGTTTTAGCTGTCAATGATGTCCTGGAAAGATTTATTTTCAAATTCTTCTTGACTGAGCAAAATGGGGGAACTAACAATAGAGATCAGGCAATATTTGTAAACAATTTGCTGTATCGCATAACTTGTGGTTTGCAACAAACTAGAAGCCGGGCGAAGAACAATTTTATTTTGCTGTGGGTAAGATATGTGCAAGGATCAATAACTGAGTGTTCTGTTTAGTTGGAGGGGAGTTGGGAGAATTAACAAAAATAAAGACTTGTTCTATTTAAGAGGACTTAAAGTGATGTATTTGTATAGCACTAGATGATTTTTGGAATTTACATCACAGACCCTGGAAATTAATGTCAGTTATGTTCTATATTTTCCTGGACTACTTATCACTCCATAGTATTATTATGCAGATGATTGTTGAATTTGTGGTGAGCTAGCTAATTTGAAGTCATTTCCAGGCTAGCCCTTGTAAGTGGTTTGAAGTGGGTGGATGAAGTTATTGTCAAGGCTCCTTATGCAATCACTGAAGAGTTTATGAACCAGTTATTCAACAAACATAAAATTGACTACATCATACACGGTGATGATCCTTGCTTGCTTCCAGATGGAACTGATGCTTATGCTCTGGCTAAGAAAGTAGGTCGCTACAAGCAAATCAAACGCACTGAAGGAGTCTCCAGCACAGATATTGTAGGTACTGTTCTTCTATACCTTCTGTGTCTATCAATGTCATGGCCAACTATTTCCTGAAATTGATTAGTCATTCATAAGGTTTGGCTAAATTGTCCTATATGCATTTTGTTTTGTTTTTCTTGGTCAATATTAACTGCACCCTTGATTGCTTTGCCCAATAAGTGCAACAGTTTCAAATATTTATTTGCTTTTTCAAATAAAAAATCAATATTTTAACTGTACCATTTATGAGTTACCCCAACTAAATATTTCGTAACTCTGATATCTGTCCAACTATAGGGAGGATACTTGCATCTGCTAAGGCTGTTAAAGTTCTTGAAGATGGCTTCATATTATCTGACACTGAAAAATCAAATAATACAAAAGAAATCCCCATCCAAGCAGGTCAGGCCAAGGTTGGCTATGTATCCCAATTTCTTCCTACCTCCAGAAGAATAGTTCAATTTTCGAACGGCAAGGTACAGCCATTCTTGTGCCTCAATTGTTATCACACTTCACTGATGCATAGTAGTGTTTCTCTTTACAGTTCACAGAGTTATCTTTGACTTGTTTACTTGCTTAAATACATATTTATTACCAAATTGAAATAGCTCAAGAAACAATGCAAAGATAAAAAGAATGGTGTGGTCAAACCACCGAGGATGAAAGCTTAAATCAAATGAAGGACAATAGCTTTCTTCAGTGATGGGGTAATTTATAAGTACCCATAGCTAGAAAGACAATATAAACCCAGTATGTTAGAAAACCATTTGAACTTGCAAAGGCAACAAATTTTTTGTGTTAAGTAAATTAAGTTCATGATAGTTCACCACTACGTGAGCTCTCTATGGTCTCCTTTAAAACAAATGTAAGGGAGCTGTTATTTAACTCATCACTTCTAGCTGTATTCTAGATAGTATGACGCTAGTATCTTTCCTGCAGATATGAGAATAATAGCAAATTAATATGAAGTTAATGACTAAAATTTCTTTAGATGGGTGAACTGCAGATATTCCTTCATGTTCTCCAGTGTGACTGTGAAATCACCAGATAGTAAGATTGGTTGGACTAGCCCACTTTTCTGTAGGTTATATATTTTCTTATGCGGCTCTTTTAGTTGCCTCTAAGTCAGGCAAATTTGGTTAATTTTTAAATTCATTTTTCAATGTGTTGTATCTGCGAAAAGATCATTTATTTTGATGAAGAGGGGGCCTGCCTTCTTATACATCATCATCTAGGATTTGACTTGTACTATGGATACTAATAGGAGCTGAACCATTATGGCAAGGAATGGTGTCTTTTCTTTTGGGCAATATAGCTTGAACATGTCGCATCCATTGATTATAGGAATTCAGGCTTCTCTCTGTTCTGTCTGCAATCTGTTTATAGTGGTCTCTGTACTTCAGTAACTTAGTACATTCTTTTTATAATATTTAATTTTAGGGACCTGGACCCAATGACCGTGTGGTATACATTGATGGAGCCTTTGATCTTTTTCATGCTGGCCATGTCGAGGTAAATCCCTAGTCCAAAAGGAGCCTGCATCTTTTACTTGCATACTTTTATTTGCAAGTATCTGTCTGCATGTATTTTTTGATTCTGGATTTTACTCCTGTCTTGTAAAACTTCTCTGGTAGCATACCAGTAGTCCATTTTCCATTTTGGCTGCTGCAACTGAGAAGTGCTATTTTGGGAGTTATTCAGCAGCCTTCCATTTTATTTGATCAACTTAGTCAGGATGCTCCATGAAGGAATTATTCTCATCATTTGCACTAATTTGAGATCTTTTTCAGCAGAGTAATCTCTATTTCGTTTATCATTCAAGCCAGGGTCATATTGATTTCAAAAGTAAGATTAAAATCACTAAAACCTCATTGGGTACTGTTGTAGAGAATGTATTTGTATGTGTCCTTTGTGGTTCAGTTTTAGCTGCTAGGACCACTGTTGATGAAACCATGAAGCTGTTGATTAATATTTTGGACTATGCTGCCGGGAAAAAACAGATTGGTTAATGTTTGGCTAAGATGACTTGAATGTTATCATCCTTCAGTATTGTTAGATTCGCAATCCTGCAAGATATGAAGCTTCAGGTTTAATAGACTATGCTACAATGTGGTTCTCTAATTTACTAAGTGAGCAGAGCATCTGAAACTGTAATGGACAATTTGTGTCAGTAATTTATTCACCAGATTAGATTTTATGATTCACATGTTAGGTAGGATGCCCAACTAGATAGACTTGTATTTCTCATTTCTTGACTATTTATATCTGTCCAACTACCTTTAGAGTAGTTGGCCACCAGGGACAGGGAGAGCCTTGAGGCTCTGCTTGGGTGCAGGTCAAGGGATCGAATCCCTTGACTTGCATTCATCTCCAGGATTTTCTGGAAGTTTCATCAGCAGGTGCAAAGGCACCCGTTTGGTCCGGTGGTTGTTCAGTTCCCTTCGGGTTCTTCCTTGGCCCATTTGGGCCCACCCCTCCCCCTTAGGATAGAGTAGGAGTAGGTAAGAACAGAAACTGTTGTGCCAACCAAAAAAAAAAAAGAAAAAGAGACTATTTTTATCTGTCAGGATTTGTCCTGTATCATATTTCCTACTCAATCAATTCTAAAGTTTGAGCTTCTCTTTCTGCATGTACAGATTCTCAAGACTGCCAGGCAACTTGGAGAGTTCCTTTTAGTTGGTATTTACTCGGACCATACTGTTAGGTAAGTTTAATCATCATAAATTGCTTTGCTATCCATAAACACATATATTGGTTCAGAATGAATGATAAAGGGGGGTTTTGATGGCATCTTGACCATTATCATATCCCTTTCTTCTAATGAGGACAATATGTAATTAGAATACACTACTTTCCAAAATTTTATTTAATGAAAAAGATCTACCATTGCATCCTGCAGTGAACTTCGAGGAAGTCATTTTCCACTTATGAATCTGCATGAGCGTAGTCTTAGTGTGCTGTCTTGCCGCTATGTGGATGAGGTCATCATTGGTGCGCCATGGGAAGTAACAAATGACATGGTATGTTTTGCTTTACATTTTCTGGAGGACCCTGTAGCTAAACCATCAGACATCTGTAGCCATTACGTGTTTTAAAAGTGACACTCTTATCAAACAACAGAAAAGATGAGAACCCATCTCTATTGATCTGATTTAAAAGTCTGAGCATGATTTAGTTTATTGTGGTGATTGTCAACATTAAAGACGTGAACAAACCATGAATAATTCAAGCATGCAAGAAATCACAGTTCTTTATCCGTCAAGAGTTAATAATGATTTGTTTAGATGAATATTTACATGTTAGAATGCTGAACATCCCTCTTTCCTACTCCTTCCCGCTCTTTTGCTTTTCAAATGTTATGTGCAGTTGATGTGTGCTATTCTTTTCTTAAAGATTAGAGGAGCATTGGCTTAGTTGAAATTCTAATGTCTAATTTCCAAGTGATTTTCAAAATATGCTGCAACACAAAGATTGTCAAGTGTTTGTATCCTATTTCAGTTTTCATTTTGCAAGAAATAGATACTATTTATCAACAGAACTAATATGAAGGATGTTTGGAGACTAGTTGGTCTCTGAGTCAGTGCTTACTATCTCGTTAATTTTAGCTCCATTGTTATTCCAACCTGCTCTTATTCATCTTAGCTTATTTATTACCCCAATCTATTTTGTCAAGGCTTGCTAATCTTGTTTACTTTCTGTTGGATACTTACCTTCACGGCATTGTTATTGATGAGTTTATTAGCTATTAACTATCTTGTTTACATGATTAGATCAAGACTTTCAACATATCTTTTGTTGTGCACGGGACAGTTGCTGAGAGCAGCTCTGCATTGAATGTGAGTACATTCAGTATGTGCAATGTGGTATTTGCCAACTTCTGTTTGATAATGATATCTTAGGAGAATATTTTCCTCGTGCAGGGAAAATCTGATCCATATGCAGTTCCCAAAAGCATGGGAATCTTTCGGGTGCTTGAGAGCCCAAAAACTATCACTACAAGTTCAGTAGCCCAAAGGATAATTGCCAATCATGAAATTTATGTGGTACTTACTTTTGCTTCTTCACATGCATGACTTTAAGATTCTTTCCAAGTTATTTCATGACATATGCTGAATCATTAGATTTTGCATCTTTTCCTAAGGTAATACTGGATTCTGTTTCACCTTTTAATTAAGAAGCGGAGTAAAAATGAAGAAAGAAAAAGCAAAAGAATGAAGAGAAAGAAGGAAAATTGGTCCATGGAAGATCTTTTACTTTCCCCAAAAATCTATTCCTGTGTGCATGCGCATGAGAGAGAGAGACTTTCAGTTGCAAAGAGAATAGGGTGTTGGCAAGCATGCACACGTCTTTGTGTATGTTTGAGAGAGAGAGAGAGTTTGGATTATGAGGAGAATAGGGTAACGGAACTTATGGAGGCAATTCTTCCGCTTTCCTCTCTGGTTGCAGCTGGTCAAAGAACTAATGACAAGTTCTTTTGGTACATGTAACTTCTTAACAATCTGGCTATTGCTGTCAACAGGCCATACCGAAGAGTCATTTCTTGGCTGTTGGATCTCGTCATTAAAGACTTTGTTCCTTTCCTCCTGTCATTGAAGGCTTCGCCATTTATTAGTTGCTGCTCACAGAGCCAATTAGGAGGGAAATTGAATAATAAATTTGTCCCTTGCTGTCTTTAGAGACTTTTTGGAGATTGACATTGTATCTCATGAGCCAGTTATTGTTGTGATCTTCTATTTATGGTTTTTTCTCTGACTCACGAGCTTCATGCCATTTCCCTTTTCAGAAACGGAATGCAAAGAAAGAAGCAAGCGAGAAGAAATACTATGAAGAAAAGAAATATGTTTCGGGAGACTGAAGTAGCTTGATCATGTAGATAGCTTCCTTTGACAGCTCCACGACAGGAGTGACACTGATGCCATTCACGATAGAACTCAGGCCATTTGCTCTTGAAGGGTATGTAGAAGAGGGAAAAGAACAAGACATAGAAAAGAAAATTAGTTAGAAAAGCAGTATACCATTCCTGTTCCTGTATTTAACAACTCTTAGATTAGGGCGCAGTTCGTCAGCCATCAACTACTAACCTTGGATACATTGCTACGTGAGTTATGTATAATTTGAGAAATGAAGTATCCCAATTAGTTGTATTTCTTACGAAGGCATATCATTAAAGTAGCAATATTTATTTCCATTGCTACTTGACTGTACCTGAATGTTAAATTAGTTCCCAGCGGTGGAGCATATAATCAAAATTTTTGCAGGATGGAGTTGTGATGTTTTTCCTTGCATTCATCCTTTTCTTTCATTGCTATTTTTTTTCCTTCCGGTGAGAAAAAGCATTAATCATCAATGATACTGGAATTATGCAACTGAATCAGACTATTTGGCTACAGATGAGAGCTGAATCCTGAGTAAGGTCCGTTTCATACACCTAGGCTTCCATAGAGAATAGGGCTATCAGGAAAGCCTAGGAGAAGCTCAATCCAATGCCTAATGGTCCTTCGCATTGTACGAGCATAATAGGGCATTGACCCTTTGCAAATAGGAAAACACGTTCAACTGGCACTCTTTCTTGAAATTTGTACAGATGGAGGCTATCTCCCACTGTACTAAAGAGATCAATCTTGCCTTTGTATATTTCAAATTTTCAATCATCCATAAAAGCATCTGCAGCGGAATATCATGGGAGGTATACGGGTCCATTACACGCATCTCACTATTCTAAAGAGATCAATTTCGCCTTTGTATATTTCAATCATCCATAAGATCATCTGCAACGGAGTGTCATGGGAGGTATACGAGCCCATTATACGTATCATTCTGATGATGCGTGTAATAGTGGTCCAGTGTCAGCAACGAACAAATTTTTTTGAAGCTGCAACAGACAAAATTTTTACCAGCAAGTTAAAGTTAGCAACGTTCATATAATTAAGTATGGATTATTATGATATCTTCGCATTTGAGATATCACATATTTGTTAAATAATTACATAATTATTTTTCAAAAAATAACAATATATTATTATTTTTGAGAGATAAAAAAAGATATATTGTTCAAACTTAGAAATTAACAATATTATTTTTTAGAAAATAAAAAATCCAAAAGGTAAAAGAAATATTTTATTCATTTATGGGATATGAGTTGTGCATTATTAAAATAAATATTTGATTTAATTATGAACCTATGCTATTATACCTTGTAGAGTGTAATTCATTGAGAGTGGGAGTATAATAAAAGAAGATAAAGTAAAATGCTGACGTGGCATGTGGATTACACTCCAAAGAATGTAAACCACTATGGATGCCCTAAGAAGGGGTTCTAAAAAAGAGGGGCAAGAATAAAAAACAAGAAGACCTAACTGCTGCTGCTGCTTTTTTAGCCAAAGATCTTGGTGAAATTCCACTAACAGCCCCCCGCAATCGGGTTTGATAGGTACAATTTCATGCGAGTCAAAATTGGATTTACGAAGGAGCGAGATTGCAGTGTTTTGAGTCTAATTTAACTTTTGTGTGAGACATATGTTTTTGCTTTTTCCATCATCAGAAGCCTACATCTTAACCTCCTCCCAAGTCCAAGTTTGCTATGGCTCTTCTGTAACACGCTAATGTGTAACACCATGTTACACATCCTCATGCATTGACATGGATCCTTCTTAAGTATTCAATTTAATTAGAAGAATAATTGTAATAATTTAAAGAGTACACATGTCAACATATCAAAGTATGTAACATGGATGTTACAAAGTTGCCACTTCATTAAAGGGTGAGAAAAATCTGAAATCCCCTTAAGGCATTGTTTTTAAACCCAGGTTTGATCGGTCGGATTGCGAACAGACCATGGCTATAGTTCGGTTCTTACTTTGGATTGATTAGACTTAAGAACCAGTGACGATTGTGTGAACCATGCAAATCACTCGAATTGAAATGAAACCGTTAGGCCGGCGATTTTTTTGTTTTTATCTATTAAACTGAAAAAAAAAAAGAATAGGTTCTTCTTAACTCTAAAAACTAACCACTAGGTGCAAAATCCGTTCACTTTTTTCTCACATTTTGCCTCTTATCAAGTTTCTTGACTTCCTCCAGGCTTCAAGTTTCTTTATTTTTTTTTATTTAACAAATTTGCAATGTTTAATTCCTAAAGACATGGTTTAAAGTTTAAACTCACAATTTCCAATTCTCATAGACATGAATTTTGTTTAATTTTAGAATAATATGGTGTTTTTGGGTAGGATTTAAGATTATTTTTTAGTAGATACAATTGAGGTAAATTTTATTTGTTTAAACTTATAATTTAAAAATTTATTTGTGAAAATCCAAGTTCTTTGAAAATATTAAACTTTTTATCAGATAAAATCTTAAATTGGTCCATTAAAATGCCTTATTTTGTGCACGTATATTTATATAATTTATTTTTAAAAGAATTCATTAAATTAGGGTGAACCAATCCGATTGATTGAACCACAATCCGAACATCTCACCAGTTCAATTAATGGTTCGAGTTTCAAAACATTGCCTTAATATTTCTATTTACTTAAATTCTTTATTTCAGGTTATTAGAGTAAATGGAGAGTATTCTCATAATACAATGGTGTTTCTCTTTTAACTTTTTGTATTAAATTTTATAGCTACAAATAGCCATCATTCTCACCACGCAAAATTGTGCATGTATTATGCATTATAGAAGGAAAAGTGTGTGTACATATACATATACATATATACGTACATACATACATATATATACATGTATGTATGTATAGAGTTAGGAAGTGTGTTGTAGTCGGACTGTCACTAGTTAAATTGTTAGTTTAAGTGGTAGAATCAATCATATATAAACAAAATATAAAAACAAGTTAGTAAGTTAGATCAGGCGGTATAACCAGCCATGAATTGTTAGTATAAACGGAATAAATAAAACAAGTAAATGAATATGAATATCAGGCGGTTTAACTGACCATTTAAGAGAATTAGATTGAATATAAAAGTTTGTAAGAGGACTTACAAAGTTTGAGAAGCATGCTTGATCTTGATTAAAGCTTGCTCCTAATTTAAAATCTAAAAACTAAAAACTAGTTTGTATTCTAGAGAGAAAGAGGAGAGAATTCTTTAATTTAGAAAGAGAAGTTGAAGTGTAGAGAAGTTGTGTGTTTTTGTGTTAGGATTGAGGGGTACTTATAGCAAATTTTTTTGTGTTGTTACATTACTCGTTACAGTGATTTTTACTGTTTGTTATAATGTACAGTACCGCTACAATGTACAGTTTGTCTTTTTGTTGTCGTGTTTGCAGGGTAACTTGCCGGACAGCTATAGTGACTTTCGGTGCTATAGTTTTTATTTTGTTGTTCTGGTTGAGTTAGTTTGAATGTCCTTAGAAGTATCTGTTTGTGTATTTAGCAAATGGTTGCTGATAATTTTTGTTTTGTTTCCTGAATCATTTCGTCATATTGAAGTGTTTGTATTCTCCATTCCTTAAGCCAATGTTTGTTAAGGATTAACCTCTGAATTTTTCTTCGTTTCATGAAGCTTTGATCTTTCAGGATTCGGATTGTATAGTTTGTTGGTTTTGCCGCAAAGTTGTCATGCTTATATCTAAGGTGTGGAGGGATTCGATCACCAGTTTCTGTGTTGTACAATACAACATCAAAGTATCTGATTATGTCTTCTCTGCATTCCTGTTTGTAAGAATAGTAGTTTTTCGAAATGTGCAAGATTGTATCATCAGCAAGTTTGGTTGGGATCCAGTTGCTGATTTTTCTGGATACTGAGCTTGTCATCTTCCTGCAAAATAGAAGTTGTTAGTTTTAATAGTTTGGAGAAAGGTAGGAGGGCATTAGGATCAAGGAATTGAGATATTATGCCCTCATCTGTGGTTAGTTAAGGAATTAATTGGCGAATAAAAGATATTCCTAATATAACATTGTTAGTTAATTTTTTTGGCTAGAAAAAAGGTGTCTGGGATGGATAAGGAGGAGAATTGGATTTGAACATCTGACAGTTTGAAACTGACTTCAAATTTAGAGCCATTGACTCCCCTAAACCCTTCCTTGATTTTTTCAAAGAATTGGGTGGAACAAGGTTTCCAAGAATAGACCTTTGGTCTGCTCCAGTATCAAATAAGACTTCAGTTTCGATTACATAATTATTTCTAATTAGTAATCGAATTTGGACCAAGTGGTCTTTATCTTTCTTGGTTTTCTTAGATAATTAGTTTAAGAACTTAGTGACATCCTGAGTGTTTGAATTGGTAGGTTCTTCAGCTGGTACTAGGTTTTGAAGAACAAGGCTGTCAAGTTCTTGCTTAGCTTTGATTGCTCTGATATCTTCTTTCAGAAGATCAATTTCTTTTTGGAGATTTTGAAGGGTTAATGGCTTAGTAGGTTTAGAAGGAAACCTATCAAGAATGTCTGTGAGATTATAGATTTTGAGGAGTTTTGAGTCTTTAGTTAACGGGGTTGAAAGGGGTTGAGATTTGGTTCAAGGATTCTTTGAACTTGTTCAAGTAGAGTTGTCTTTTTTCTGTTTCTGGAATATGTTCAATGATGTCGAGAAGAAGATTTTGGTCTTTGGTCAACACATTGACTGTAGGACCTTCTTTTTCATCTTCATCACTGGTGGTTTAGGAAGAAAATGTTGAAATCTCATCATCTAACTGATTAACATAATCTTCTTCTCGTTCAGAATCATCAGTATTGATTCGATCAGAAGATTTGATATTTGGGCTTTGATCTGGTCTTCTAGACCTAAGATATTGATTTTTTAGTTGAATTTGCAATATCGGGCTATATATCCAGATTTATGACATTTGTAGCAAATGATTGGAGGTAGGGCTGGTCCTGTGATTTGAGGTGGTTGTATGGGAGGTGGTTGTTTATTGGACTGATATCCCTTTTTGGAAAAAGAAGGTTTTTCAAGATGTTTAGTGGGTTTAGGTCATTTATGAGATTTTTTGCAATAGTTAGATAGCCTAAATTGTTCATAGAAGAATCCAAGATCTTTTCTTCTCTGGGCTCAATCCTTTGCAAGTTGTCTGAGCATCTTGTCTTGTCGTCATACTTTGAATGCAACTTATTGAATCTGGCTGATTAACTGTCCATAAGTTATTGTTTTCCATGATACAGTCTCGTTGTATTGAGTCCTGAGTTCTTCTCCAACTAGGTCTTGTAGTGATTTGGGAAGGCCATTAAGAAAATTTTCTTTTCAATAGGCTTTGTTGCTGTCTGATCTTGTATATATTTTGGTTAAGAATGTGTCTTTGTACTTTCTGAAGTCTAAGAGATTTTT